AGAGTATCTACCTGATGAAAGCCTTTAGTGATGGGAAATTTAGTGTGGGGTAAAGACAAATGGAACTGGCTACAAGTAGTTGTTTTTATTGCAAGAAGACTTAAAAATAAGAATCCATTTACTTCATCAATGAAGAATAAATATTGTTGTTTATTATTTCTTATCATTGCTGATAATAGTGTGTAGCCAAGACTAAATAGTAGGTGTTTTGCCCACCAGTTTCTAGTGCCCAGTTCTAGTGTACTGTTTGCAGCTACAACTCACTGTGGGCCAAAAATATGGGCACAGTTATTGCTGGTCCAAAATTGCACTGCTGAAAATCAAAGTCTCAACTTATTTTTTTCAGTCTTCTCTTCTGATAGAAGGGATAGGTAATGGGAATCTAAACTGGACTATAATCAACAAGAAGTAATATTAGCTCTTGAAATTTTACACCTGTGAAACCAAACCTACATGAGTTTCACTTGCATTTAAGATTCCGAAAAGAATCTCATAAGAAAATAAATAAACTAGGTAATTTAGCATCATAGCTCTTTAGTCCTTTTAACTGGGTCAGTCTATTATCATACTTCCTGCTATCTTTGGGTATGTCTACACTAGCTCGTTAGTTCGAGCTAGGTAGGCAAATGAGGGCAACCGGAGTTGTAAATGAAGCCAGGGATTTAAATATCCCGGGCTTCATTTGTATGTTCCCAGGCGCCGCCATTTTTAAATCCCCCATTTGTTCAGACTAACTGCCCACGGCTAGACGCGGCAATTAAACGTTAATTCAAATTAACTCCTTAGTTCGAATTAACATTTAACTGCCGCGTCTAGCCACGGGCAGTTAGTTCGGACTAAGGGGGATTTTAAAATGGCGGTGCCTGGGAACATGCAAATGAAGCCCGGGATATTTAAATCCTGGGCTTCATTTGCAACTCCGGTTGTCCTCATTTGCCTACCTAGTTCGAACTAACGAGCTAGTGTAGACATACCTCTAGATTTCAAAGTTCTTTATTACAGTGTGCTCTCCAACTAAAAATGCTTGCATTATTTGTCCTATGGGGAAATACCCACACATAATCAAGAAGATAGATTATCCATTTTTAATTGTGACAAGGTGGAGGAGGTAATCTTTTATTGTCCCAACTTCTGTTGGTTAAAAGAGACAAACTTTCAAGCTACACAGGGCTCTTCTTAAAATCACTGTGCAATCTCAACGGATGGTTGTGAACGGAGAGCCCCGGTCAAGAATCTCCTGGCGGAAAATCCCAGTCCTGCAGTGGGCCCAATACTTACTTTTAAACTTTCTGCAGATCCCCTGCAGTGCCATTATGGACCACTAGAGGTCCACAGACCACAGTTTGGGAACCATTGACCTAACCACTATGCCTCATGTGGAGGTAGACTTATTAAATAGGGGTAGTAGGCGGGTTACATTTAATATAGACACTTACCGAGTTAGGTCACCAAAAGATAGCTGAGGTCAGTCTAACTCTGCAGCATAGACACTCTCTGCAACAATGGGTGGGGTTCTCTCATCGCTGTAGTTAATCCACCTCCTCAAGAGAGAGTAACACTGTCTACACCGGGGTTAGGTCAGCATAGCTGTGTGTCTTAATAGTGTGAATTTTTCACACTCCTGAGAACCGTAGCTAGGAGAATGCAAGTTCTCAGTGTAGACCAGCCCTTACTTCACTTACAGCCATTCAAAATGTTGCTGCAAAGATCACACTCTTCCAGTGCTTAATTTGTAATGAAAGAGGTGTCAGGGCTCAAGCAATTTTTTTACACACCTAACTGATGCAACAGGCCTAGAGGTTCTGGGGCTATGAATTGCCAAACCTACAGATGCCAGGGCTCAGCCCTAGCAAAGCCTGGCACAAATTAAGCACTGCTGTTCTCCTATGTTGTTGCTTCAATCACATCACTTCCCCCTTTGCATCTCTCTATTGGCCCCTCCTTCTCCACTGCAGTAAACACAAATGACTTGTCTTCTCTTATATAAGGCCTTTCACAGCCTCTCCCTGCCCTAGCTATATTTTCTTATGTAGCATCAAAACATCAGTCCACAGCTTCGCAATGCAATTGAAGCCAGTCTTGACTGCCCATTTGTGAAATTTGTGCTTTTCTCCCTTTTCACCTTTGATGCATGAAAGGAGCTCCCTGAAAGCATCATTTCAACCCTCACAGCTGATCCTCTCAGTATGGTTTGACTTTTCATATGTACATAGTGCATTACTTAAGCCCTCAATAAAATATAATAATGGAACTTTATAGTTATTGGCAAGTATTTTATATGGGCATCTGTTATATTGCTTCTTGGTTAATGGCCAACTAAACCATTAACAGCAAATAATGATGTAGAAGAAAAAAATCCTCCAGTGCTTCTTTCTAATGGCTAGAAAAACAAACTAAAGACAAACTACACGTTGCCAGTTTAGGGACAGATCTTCAAGGTGTAACTCCTTTGACTTTTATCATTTGGTGCTGATTTACAACAGTTGAGGATCTGACCTGTTAATTTCTGGAAAATACAAGTTTTAAAATGAACAAATAGGAGGAGAATAGTCCCAGGCTCCCCATTGATTTCATTGGTATTTTTTAAAAAACATACTCAAAATCAGATAAAAGAAATATCCTCTTACATGAAATTTTAAAATATGCTTGCTCCTTCTTCTTCTTTGATTGGCCTTTAAATATGCTGCACCCAAGGTTGTATAGAGAATTAAAGAGTACACATTTTAAGCACACTCTTTTAAAAATGCTTACATAAGTCTATCCTCAGTTCCATTGGATCCCTTTTTTCCCTAGGTAACCCCCAAGGCACCAATGGCCAGATGATGTGCATTCCCCAGCTGTTGCACATGTAGCAGGAGCTACCCCACCCCTCTATGTGAGATAGTCTGGTATAGCCATCCCCACAAATGCTCTCCATGAAATCTTGTGAAAGGGGAAATGTGCTGCATGCTTAACTCCTAATGATTTTTTTTTATACTGAAATTCTTCTCAAACTTTTTTCCTTGACGCTCTCTGTTTGCCCAGAATCTCACAGGCTGCATCTAGACTGGCATGATTTTCCGCAAATGCTTTTAACGGAAAAGCTTTTCCGTTAAAAGCATTTGTGGAAAAGAGCATCTAGATAGTCACGGATGCTTTTGCGCAAAAGCACTTTTGGCGGAAAAGTGTCCGTGCCAATCTAGACGCGGTTTTGCGCAAGAAAGCCTCGATCGCCATTTTCGCCATTGGGGCTTTTTTGCGCAAAATGGTTCTCAGTTGTCTACACTGGCCCTCTTGCGCAAAAGCATTTGCACAAGAGGGCTTTTTCCCAAATGGTAGAGTCATTGTATTTGCGGAAGAACACTGACAATCTTACATTAGATCGTCAGTGTTCTTGTGCAAATTCAAAGCAGCCAGTCTAGACGCAGCCACAGATTTCTCCAAGGAGAACACTGATGCTGTACAAAGATTTCACTCCTTTTACACTATCATCCCCTCCCATCTTTTGAACCTCTGCTCCCTCCAACTTTTTCTCCACCACCAATCTCAAAGAGCCTCTCCCACTTGCAAGACCGACCCATCAGCCGATCCTCTTGAGCCCAGCCTCCTACCTGACTTTGGAGTTCATGGAGTGCATAGTCCCCATGCTTACCCACTGGCTTTTATGTATTTATGTTGTTCTATGAAACTGTAACAGTTCCATTGCTATGGGGACCTTCTGTGGTCTCTGTGAGGTGGGGTGGATTTCATCCTAAAAGAGACATGAAATGGTAGCATGCATTGCACATTAAGAAAATACCAGGTAGATGTGCAAAGTGACACTTTAAAATAATGTTATGATTTCAGTTGGATAACACCAATTTAATTTGCTTTTTCCCCAACTCATTAAAACCATCTACAGGGTCTTAAATACAACCTATAATTTTCTATTGTCATCATGAGTAGGTGAGAGCAGGTCAAATTCCCACCACCTGATGTGGTGAATTTCCAAATATTTTCCTCCTCTGCTTTGGAGATTTTAATTAAAAAAGCCAGGAGAACTCTTGTTATATATTCAGCAAAGTATTATGTTGTTATTAGAAATGGACCTGAGCCACCATGTTCAGATCTGAACTTTCTCAATATTTGGGGCTATTTTAGTTCATCCTGTAGAAGAGATATAGCTAGTCATAAAGTTTGGACCTAGACACAAACTTTTCCAAAGTTTAGGAATTATTGGATCTAGAGATTTGGTTTAACTCTCTCCTCAGTTATTATGTGCAATTGCCCTTTTGTTTCATAACGTGGAATTTTGTTTTTGGATTTTTAGACATTTTATTCATTGTTTATTCAGTGCCAATACAAAAGATAACATTCATTCTTCTGCTAATAGTTGTGCCATTGCCTCTGTACCATTAAAGGAAGCCGAATACTGTACTTTCTTTGCACATAGTAAAAAAATATAAATAGGACTTGGGTTTCATCAAATTTTTGCATGCATTTAGTATAGATGATATGCTAAATTCTTTTAACTTCTGAATTCTATTTTGAATTGTGAACAGAAAGAAAATGGAATTTTTCTTTCAGTGGTGCTTACCAAATTTTTCAGATCAGGTGTTTGTTGGACCAAATCAGAAGTACATTGTAAGAGATGAGGCATAGTGATCAATTATACATCTCGGCTACATCTAGACTGGCATGATTTTCCCAAATGCTTTTAACGGAAAAGTTTTCCTTTAAAAGCATTTGCGGAAAAGAGCGTCTAGATTGGCACAGACACTTTTCCGCAAAAGCACTTTTTGCAGAAAAGCGTCCGTGCCAATCTAGATGCGCTTTTGCGCAAAAAAGCCCCGATTGCCATTTTCACCATCGGGGCTTTTTTGCGCAAAACAAATTTGAGCTGTCTACACTGGCCTTTGCGCAAAAGGACTTTTGCCCGAACGGGAGCAGCATAGTATTTCCGCAAGAAGCATTGATTTCAGACAGTAGGAAGTCAGTGTTCTTGCAGAAATTCAAGCGGCCACTGTAGACAGCTGGCAAGTTTTTCCGCAAAAGCAGGTGCTTTTGCGGAAAAACTTGCCAGTCTAGACACAGCCATATAGGCCCCCATCCAGGAAAGAATGTCATCCTGTGCTTAACTTTAAGCATGTGAAGTCAATGGGATTTCTCATGAGCTCAACCGAAGCACATGCTTGAGTGCTGTATTGGTTCATAGCCGTATTAGAGAAGACAGAATTATGTGATACCATCGGTGAGATAACATGCGTCTGGATATTTACAATAATTTACGTTAACATACAACCCTTTTCCAGCAGATTCTGTAGTCATTTACCATCAGGGGCTTGAGGCAAAATTAGCTTGATCTGAGTATTCAAGCATTTGATTCCCTGCAGAACTTCTAAGAACCTTTTGCACTGTGCTTGGAACTGGGATCAGATTTAGTTCAAAGGTCCCAAAATGAACACTTATTACATAAGAACGTTGCTATTTTCTCCAGAATGGGGAGGTTGGGGCCTTGTGGAAATGTCTCACATTTTTTTTCTCTGCTGCCCATTTGATGGATGGTCTTGCTGCTCCTTCCTCCTCTGATTGATAACCCTTTATATCTTCTTCAAACACTGCCTCAAACCTAGGCTTAGGCATTAAAGCTGGTCTTCTTATTCTAGAAGTTTGATCCTTCCTGTGTAGGCTTCCTCTCTGGCCTTCAAAATCTGACAGTTTCTCTCTTTTCTCTAACAGTTCCATTGGCACCATCTCCTGCTGCCGAGAGTTTGCTCCAACAGAACATGCTCGCAGCTGTGAACTGAGCGTTCGGGAGACCACTGAATGAGAACTGCTGCTATCACCTGGGCATTAACACAAAAGGGAATGATTTTATTAACAATAAAAGAGAGAGTATTTTATTAAGAACTATTACATGAAAATACTTAATATAATAAAGTATTAGTCTGAGATCATAAGGTTACACTGGAGCTGTAGTGTTTGCAGCAATTACTGGAAAATAATGTATATTTTATTATGCAGGATGCCTTAAAAAAACCCTATATTTCTTTAGTAGGGGAGAGACACAATTTTTGGTGGATAACACATCCTGTATTGGGCTTTGCTCTACCCTTAATACATGAGCATACTTTGCTCCATCTTACTAGCTCTCAGTGCTGCTACTGTCATTATTATATTTAGTGCAGCAGACACATTCTTCTAAGGTTTAAGTTCTGCAAAGATATTCAGGCAGATAACCAAACCCATAGTTCTGAAGCATTACAGAAAACATCCCCTAGGACTGAATGTGATTAGTGAGAAGGTTTCAACTGAAAAACAGGATGACTTCCAGGTCACCTGTAATTAACAAGACAAAAAGAACCAGTTGCACCTGAAAGTTTGGCTTCTAGGCCCTTTGATTAACTTGGGTGTATCAGAGCACAAGCCTTTCATGGAATTCGAGTTCCCTAATCTTATTAGAAACACACCCTCTAGCACCCCAGGCACTTCCTTGGTCTCTGGTACAAACTTTTGCCTATCTACACCAAGGTGAACTAGTCCTCTTGCCCTATTTATTTAACTAAGCAAATCTCTGCTCTTTTATTACTTACAAGCCATTTGAAATCTAAAGATGTAAAAATAAATTAGCTATACTATTACATAATTACTCATAACAATACAGGAACTTCTAAAAACAAAAATACTTGAAAGATTATAAAACAGATGACATCCAACTGCAATTAAACACATGCATATAGTTGTTTCAAAGAAAATGGACATTTTCTTAGATTTGAAAGAAGACTGGAGACAGTAAGAAGTGGCCTATATCTAGCCAGGTAGGGTAATCAGTGCTACAAAGTGTCAGATGTATTGGCCATGGAAATATTTACGTCTGTGAAACATGAGAATAATGACCACTATTTTGCAATTTGGCTATTTTGTTTTACCCATGCTGCCTGGGACACTCAAGCAACCTAAATCCCAGATCCTCACATATATTTAGATGCCTAAGTCCCATGGGATATGTCAAAGTGACTAATTTTCTTTGTATCTCATTGACCCAATGTGTTCTGCTGAAGTTTATTTTGTCTTCCCTGATTATTAACCAGTGGGTAGCACAAAGCTTCTGATTATTGTAAACTCCCTGCATAGATTCACTGATTGTACCTTTAAAACTATATGCCCTGAGCTAGATTTTCAGCCCAGCCTCAGCTGCTTTGCACCATTCCTGGGCTATGTCCCAAATTCTCCAAAGAAAAAATAGGAGATTTGCCAGTGGCAGCAATAAGGGAAGGATTAGGCCCTAAGAAAGGGACTGTGATAGCTCTTCTTATCATATGCTGTTTTGTGCTGAAAATTTTAACACATTTTTAGCAGGACTGATATCCCTTGAACCATAAATCCTGTTAGTTGCCTCCCATTGTTCTATATCTATATTTTGGAATCTCTGGCAATAAATAACTTTGAAGGTTTTGGTGGGGTTCTTATCAACCAATATATGCACAAGCTAAAGTGGGTAGTTTGCTCACACAGATCACAAAAACATTCTTTGGCTTCAATAGGGAAAAAAAGAAATGGAACAGAGTAAATCATTTTACACACGCAGGAAACATGCAACATTTGGCTTTTCGCCTTTTCCCACAAGGATGATTAAAAATACCTTCACTGCCATTTTTTAAATTTTGCCAAAAAATGAATAGTCATTCTCAACAGCCAAAACACGTGTTTCAGGAATTCAGAGGTAAACAAAAATGGAAGGATGTCTAATGGACTTGATCTCCACTGGACTCCATCCATTGTCCTATTACCCAGGACAAGGACAATGGATAGAGAGCTAGCTCAGCTAAGAGACCAGTATTCCATGCCTCGCTCTGACACTGGCCTGCTGTGTGATCCTGACAAGTCACATCACTGCTCTAAACCTGTTTCTCCTCCCAGTCTCTGTCTTGTCTACTTAGATGGAAAGCTCTTCACAGTAGGACTGCATCTTACTATGTGTATGTAAAGTACATAGAATTTGTGGGCCTGATCTGTCACCATCATACAAAGAAAGTATTTGTCACAGTGGAGATGAGGGAAGAGATAATAGACACTCTGGGACATACTGTATCCGAATCCCCAGTGACTTCCTAGCTCTTGAGGTAAAGACATGGGATTCTGGGAAATATGACAGCCAAAAGACACTCTAGTGTTCCATCATTTAGGGAACAAAGGGAATGGCACCCTCTGATTTTCTGAAAGGTGGAACTTCTGGGGGCCTATAGATATTGGTAACTTGATGTGAGAAAATTATTCAGACAAAATTATAACCTATTAAAATTATAGTTTTAGTCACTAAAAAGTGTGTTATGTTTTGTTTGTCCCCACCTCTCTCTCCTGCTTAGTGTCATTTACATATTTGATGTTCATTAGTACACTTATTCTTAGCTTTAGTATAAACCATCTCGGTGCTTTACATTGAAATAAAGAGTGAGCCAGCAGGCTGGTGTATGTACACTTGTCTGTTTGGAGGCAGGGAACATAAAAATTCCTGTGAGCATCCAGTCAGGGTGCCTAGACATGTCTGGGGAAATTGCAGACTTGGAACTCAATGATTGCTAATGTGCAAGGTAAGGTTCAGACTGGCAGAGTCTCAAGGAGTTTGCGGAAGTGGCAGGGAAGTGACCCCAGCAAATCCCTCCCTTGCTGAGGCACAGGGGTAACACATGAGCTTATGGTTCTCAGTGACCTGAGCAGATGACCACAGCTGGTGTGATATGAACAACACATAGGGTACGTCTAAACTACATGCCTCCGTCGACGGAGGCATGTAGATTAGCCAGATCGGCAGAGGGAAATGAAGCTGCGATTAAAATAATCGCGGCTTCGTTTAAATTTAAATGGCTGCCCCGCTCTGCCGATCAGCTGTTTGTCGGCAGATCGGGGCAGTCTGGACGCGCCGCGCCGACAAAGAAGCCTGTCTTGATCGGCACAGGTATGTAGTCTAGACACATCCATAGAGACAGAAAGGTGAAAGGGATGTGTCCCCTTTAAAGAAACTTTGGATTTTGTAGGAGATGATGTAAAATTCATGGAGCAAATTCTCTGTTTTTCACTGTATCCTTTTGGAGTGGTATGCAGAGTAAAGTGTGTGTTGTGTTACCTGTAAAAGCATCATGCCTTGCTTTTTGTTGTCTATCTGGATAGCGAGTACCATAGGGTAAAGAGAGGAAACGCACATTTGTGGTGCTAGCCTACATGCAAAGACAGAAAAACATACAGTACATTTAATTGTGACAACGTGGATTCAGAAGCAGAACCAGTTCAGCATGCAGGACATTCCAAGCTGTTAACTTACACATTTTAAACTATATGGGCCAAATTCAATCTGAGATAAATGGGGGCAAATTGCTAAGGAAGATTCTGGATTAAAGACAATGGAAAGTTAGTATAACAATAGAGGTGCTGTTTTGGCATTCAGTGATGGGCCAAACCAATGAACTTACACACTAAGGGGCTGTAAAGCTGTCTTACTGTGAGAATAGCACCTAGCAACAAGATCCAAATAAGCAGCTGTGGTTTTTTAGATAGTGCTGTTTTTGCGCTATACCTGCCTTCCTTCAGCACTTTCAGTGGCTGATTCTGACCCCATTTACAGTGAATTTACACCAGTCCAAACAGGATCAGAATCTGGCCCTAATATGATCCAAAGCCAGCTGAAGTCAATGGAAAGAGTCCCAGTGACTTAAAAGGGCTTTGCCTTAGTCCCTAGGGCCATGTCTACTCTAGGCGATTATTTCAATTTACTAAGTTTGTCTTCTGGACACAAATTTGAAGTTCCATGTCCTCACTATGGGGAAGAATCAAATGTAGTCTGAGGTAGCACATCCACATTAATGGAGCCTGCCTCAGACTTAGAGCCCGAGGAAGAACTCTGGGAAGCTGCGAGAGGCCCCCCAGGGGCCAGATAGTTAGTCTACACTAATGTTATTTCTGATTTACAAATTCAGGAATAGCGTTACTCCTCATGGCCTGATCTACACTAGGATTTTAGTCCAAAATAATCCCATCAAAGTCAGATTTGTGAGTGATGCTTCCACGCTACCAAGCCCGTTATTCCAGAATAAGGGGTTTCAGGATTCAAATTCTGTACTCCTGTTTTTCATGAGAACTAACACTATTCCTGAACTTGTAAATCCAAAATAATGTTAGTGTGGATTCTCTGGTGCCACTAATTCAAACTTACTGGCTTCCATGTGGCTTCCCACAGTTCCCCAGAGTGCTTCCTGGGGCTCTGAGTTCGAGGTAGCACGTCCACATTAACAGAGCTTGCCTCGGACTACATTCAATTCTTCCCCGTGGTGAGGATATTGAAGTTCAAATTTGTAAAATTGGGTGCCCAGAAGTCGAATTTAATAAATTCAAAATAATCTCCTAGTGTAGACATAGCTCATGAAAAGCAGGTCTACAGAGTTCAAATTCCGTGGTCTCTTATTCTAGAATAGCGGGCTTGGTAGTGTGGACACGTAGCTTAGAAAATTGACCTTAGGGGGTTAATTTCGGACTACGGTCCGACTGTAGCCCAGGCCTAGGTGTGTCTGCTTCCCTTGTTTTGTTGCACACACAGTGAATGACAAGTTAGCGCAAGTTACAGTGGTTTACCGTTTAAAACCAATCACACTGTGTTCTGACGGACTTACAAGTGACATGTCATTGACATAACTTGATCACATCATTGTTGAATATGGCTCTTTGTTTCCAGGTGCTTTCCTCTTTCATTGCTCTGTGTGAAATATTCATTCTAACTATTGCAAAAGCAAACTTTTGCAATTGGCTGGGGTCCGAATATCCAGAGACATACAGGTATTTTTATGCCCTGATCACATGAATTGTAGTTTGCATAACAGTTACCGGTTTCCCCCAAGGTAAGCTGTTTCCTTTCCAGACATTCTGCCTCAGGCTGTGCTGGCGACGGATGAGAATTTCTTTTGCCTGTTTCTCACTTGTTTCTGTTGGCAGGTTGTGCCTGTTATAAGACGGTGTCTGAAATAGAAAGTACATTTATTTAACTCTTTTCCCAATGCACATTTGCTGTGTTGGCTGAAGCAGCACAGTCCAGCATGCTACTGGGAACAAGGAACTTCTCTGCGGTTCTGTTCCTGGCTCTGCCATAGATTCACTACGAGATCTGGCATACTTTTTTTAACTTCTCTGGGACAGAGCCAGGCTTTCAGTATGGCCCCCTCATACCACTCTAGTCTTGCCCAAGCTGTGCAGCTATGGATTCCCCATTGTGGAGAAAACCCCAGGTGGTAGACAGCCAGGTCTACACTATCCTTATTCACATGCCAGAATGCTCAGTCAAAAAGAGACCTTTGGTGGCTCTGATTAGCACCACTGACCAGGCCATTAAAATTTTGGCTAGGACAGGACTGGTAGGTTCCCTGCCTGGTTCCATGCAGCTCCCAGATAGCCAGGGGCGCTCCGCATGCTACCTCTGCTCCAAGCACTGATTCCGTACGTCCCATTAGCCAGGAACCACAGCCACTGGGGGCTGCCTAAGAGCCAAAGGAATTGCCTGAGGTAAGCACTGCCCAGAGCCTACACCCTGCACCTACTTCCATGCCCCTTCCCCAGCTCAGAATCCCCTTTTGCACCCAAACTCCCTCTCAGAGCCTGCAGCCCCTCCCACACTCCAAACCCCTTTCTCAACTCCCTGCTGTACCTCAAACTTCCTATTGTTGACACCACCCCAAAGTCTGTACTCCCAGCCAATCTCACCCCCTCCTACACTCCAACCCGCTGCCCCAGCCCAGAGCCCCCTCCCACATGGATCCCTAATTTCTCACCCCATCCCAGAGCCCTCCACCCCTCTCACATCCCCCAACCCCTGCAGCAGCCTGATGAAAATGAGTAAGTGAGTGAGGATAAGAGAGAGCAAGCGATAGAGGGCAGGAAGGAGTGAGTGGGCTTGGGGCCTCAGAAAAGGGGTGGGATCTTGGGGCAGGAAAGGGGAGGGGAAGTGTGTTTGGTGTTGTGTGATTAGAAAGCTGGCAACCCTACCCATCCTACAGATTTGTGGCCAAGCCCTGGATGAAAGGATTTCATAAGCTGGAGGACACAAGGGTAGCAGATTAGTAGAAATGTTGGTGCTGCCCAGAACTCCCTAACCCTGCACCCCTCCCCATCCCAAATTCCCTCCCATCCACCTGCCTAAGGGTCTGGGATGTAGTTTGAGTGGGTGGAGGAGTCTAGGGTGCATGCTCTGAGATGGAATTTGGGTGCTGAGTGCAGATTCTGGGTTCAGGCAGGGAATTGGGGTGTAGGAGGGTGCAGGCTCTGGGAGGCAGTTTGAGTGCAAGAGCGGGTGAGGGTAGGGCGCTGGGAGGGAATGAGGGTGTGGGAAGGAGCCTGGGGCAGTATTCCATGTAAGCTGTGCACTTGTGCGACTGCTCAGGAGAGATTCAAATGCCACCCAGCTGATTAGCAGAGCACCCACAGTTCGGCTTTGTGGATCTGCTGGGGGTGCACATTCTCACATGCCTCAACATACATGGAAACATTTATTATGCACGTGGATGGAAAAGATGAGAGGGAACTTTGGTCTAGGGTGCAGGCTGTGGGCCAGGGCAGGGGGTGGTGGCTCAGGAAGGCATGAGGGTGCAGATTCTGGGATGGAGTTTGAGTCTGGGAGGGCCTGGGGTGCAGCCTCTGGGAGAGAGTTTTGGGAGTGGGAGGCGCAGGCTTTGGGAGGGAGTGGGGGTGATTACCTGGGGCACATCACCCTGGCAGTAGCTCCTAAGCACGGGAGGCCAGGGAGGTCTTCATTTGCTGTTTGTCCCCGCAGTTCCCATTGGCCACAGGGGCAGTTGGGGCAGGGGCAGCATGCAGACACACCCCTCCCCACAGAGGCTGCAGGGAAGTGCCAGCACCCAGCAGAGTGAGCAAGAAGGAATCTGCTTTAGCCCCACTGCTCTGCTGGTGCTGGGAGCCCTCCAACCCTTTTAAATCACCAGGGGGCAGTAGAAGGGCCAGGTGATGCACCAGCGGGAGCACGCAGGGGCAGCAGGTGGGGCCAGGGGAGAGACCTGGCCCCGGACTTTGCTGGAGCAGGGCCCTCGGGCCAGGAATATTCCTGTAGCCTGGACCCCAGCACTATGCCTGCTTAGGAATCAAGAGAGTGCAAAGAATCCATCTTTGTGCCCTTTCCCTCCCGCCCAGTTCTTGCACCAGATAAATCTGTCAGACCCAAGGAATGAAGGACTGATCCCTCTAATTCCTAGGCCTGTTCTCCTCTTCAGAGGCAGCCCAGCTTGGCATTTTATGTCCTTCCAACAAAAGTTTCCATTTTTTGCCAGCATTATTCCCCATCTCTGAGCAGCCGAAATCAGCCCCAGCTCATGGTGGGAGGGAATTCTTCCCCTATCATCCTATCGTGAGGGCAGGGTTTGCCTCCCACAGAGCAAACCATGAAACCTTCTTCCTCCTCCCCCGCAGGGTTTGCCTCCCACAGAGCAAACCATGAAACCTGCCCCCCCCCAAACCTGGCAAATTTGCACTGAGGTCCTGAATCTCCTGAATAGCAGCTCTGGTCCCTAATGGCCCTCTCCTTCACTGAGGTCAAAATAATAACAGTCTTAAATCTCCTCTGCAGGTGATTTGCTTTAAAAAATGTACCTGCTGCATATGTTGAGGTAAATCCCCCTATTCCTGAATTCCACCTCAGCTCCATCACCTCGGTTGCCATGGCAACACCCTGCAAGTCTGTGGCTGTCACAGGTCACAGCTTGTGTGTGACTAGAGAGAGGGACTGGAAAGTGAAACTACATACACTAGGTGTTGGGCAACATCAGAAAAGAGTCACTGAGATCTTTACAGCTAGGGAAGCCTGACCCCTAGAGCTAGTTTCTGGGGTTATGATCCTGTTAGATTGCAGACCAGAACTCAGAGTGAAAAGCTAGAAGCTAAACTCCCTTTTACTTTTTGTGCTGTAGGATGTGGGCATAATAGGCCAGATCTTCCGCTGGTATAAATCAGAGTGCCCCCCATTAAAATCCAGTTGACACCAGATGAGGAGCTAGCTTAATATTTCCCATTTACATTGTTCAATGCTGAGAAGAATAATTCAATCTTTGCAGCTGCCATTGGCTGTTGTGATGATTGTGAGGAGGGCAAACATGCTCTTTTGATCTACAAGCACAGAGCTTGGTTACAAGAATCACTTACATACCCTTTGTCGTACTTGATACAGACCATGCGCCAGCATGTCCTGCATGGACTCCACCTCTGCAGGGGAAAGCCTATGCATTCTGTGATTTCTATAGCTCCTGTAAACAGAAGGGAGTGATAAACAAATGATACTAATCACACAGGAATGACCTTTCCTATAAAATTATATATTTTCTTATGTTATTATTTCTAGAGCACTGAAGACAGGAATGACACTCTCCTGGCCAATGATATTAAACTGTCAACAAAAGCTAAAAAAGAAAACTTCTTAGTTTGGGGGAAGGGAGTTTGCTCTTTGCATTAAGAATGTTAAGGACTAGTCGACTAGTCAACTATCCGATAAGTAAAAGCTTATCGGATAGTCAGTCGACTAGTTGACTAGTTAATTACCCCCCTCTTTATTGCCTCTATCAGATAGATGCAGCAAAAGGGGAGGAGGGGGGAGGGAAAGGTGTTCTACAAAGAGGCAGCGCCGCGCTCAGCTGTGCTGGGCTGCCCCTTTGAAAGGAGGAGGCAGCATACAATGGGCAGCACCACACAGCCAGGGCCGGACAGAGGCATGGGCGAGCCGGGCAGCTGCCCAGGGCACCAGCCCACGGGGGGTGCCTGATGACAGCTGTAAGGGGCGTGCGGTGTCCCTTATAGCTGCCATCAGGAGCTGCGTGCCTGGCTCCCGCAGCGTCGGCACTGTGGCACTGGACAGCAGAGCCCTTGCCCCCATGGATGCGGGGCCCTGCACGGCCTGGCGCATGTGCCAGCAGCGCTGGCCGGGCTGGGCTGGGCAGCGCATGCACTGTGCACCCCGGGGGTGGGCCTGCGCATGTGCCCTGCACCCAGGGGGCGGTGCCACACGCCCAGGCCCAGGGTGCCAAAAGGGCTCAGGCCAGCCCTGCACACAGCTGAGCCACTGGGGATCAGCTGTGCAGTACTGTCCCTTTGAACGCCGGTTCTGTGTTTCGAAGGGACAGCCCCACTCAGCTGTGTGGCACTGTCCCTTTGAAATGCAGAGGAGGCATTTCAAAGTGGCGCTGTGGAGCCCGGGCTTAGCTGGGGAGTCCCCAGCTGACCCCGGCTCTGTGGGGAATTTCAAATCCACAGTGCAGCATAGCTCCTGCAGTCAGCGGGAGATTTTAAGTTTAACAAACAAGAGCTAAAAAGGACAGTCCCATAGAAATGGAGAAAATTCAGGATTTACCAAGGGGATGTCACAGCCCCGGTGCTTTGGCTGGCAGGTCTAGAAAATGTTTACAGTTGTCTTGTAACTGGGGAAATGATCATCATGACAAATCCCAAAGGGAGATGGCCTTCTTGTGGACAGAGCGTAACTTGAGTCAATCTTTGGGTAGGTGCTTAAGGTGATCAAACAGCTTTTCAGTTTATGTTCATCACTGGCAATCTTCTAGTGCCACCACAGTGTTTGACACCCATGTGATGATGGCCGAGTAGAGGCATTCCTTGTACTCACCCCTTGGAATACTTACCCTTCCATTCTAATAATACATCCCTACCAAGAAAGCTGCCAAAACCAAATAATTGCATATGGAGGTGGTTGCTGGGTTCAACTAACTATGTCCAATCATTTGATTGGAACAGCTGACAAAGATATGACAAAAATCAAAACCAGCAGTCCAATGCTCTTCAGCCTTCCTCTGTGCTCATGCTTCATTTCTCTACAATAGAGCTAGTATAATCTTGATTCTATATGTCTGCAACTTCATAGTAAGTTTGAGGTCTGAGGTCGTGGTGTATAGCTCCCTCACTTATCTTAAGCTGCAAGAAAATGCGTAAGGCAATAACTTCCATTTTTATAAATTAGTGTTAAGAGGTGTTTACAGTCATTTGCAACTACCTCTCCTACTTGCTAAAGACAGGATAGAACCTGGTTGATCTGAAATGTTAACTGGATTTGCCAGGTCAACCTCTGTGAGAGCTTAGTCACATATACTAACAGGAAATGGAGAAAAGGGATAGAAAATAAAGGGGCATCACCATCCCTACTGAACCATAGTCAAAGTTCACTTCATTGTTCCCACTTATTTTCTTTTTTCTTTGCTTTCTTTTCTATGTATTTGTCCATTTTTTCCTTTTCTATGTATTTGTCCATTTCTTTTCCTTTTCTATGTATTTGTCCATCTTTTCCTTCATATTAAGTGATGTAATTGTGGTGAATGGCTTGATTAAAGAAGGGATTCCTTTAATTATATTCTGAAAGGCTTGTGCTTTCAGTTTCCCTTACATGAGTAAAAGAATGCAGCCTTTAATATCAAAAGAAGCTGCATGTAGAGTAAACTAAAAAAACAATTATCTGTTTAATGATTTAGGAACCTTGATGTTCAGATATGGATTAGTTTAGACTAGAGTTTGGGGTTCAGGTTCAAAGCAGAATCTAGGCTAAGATATGGCAGCCCAAATAATGGGAAATCACAGCTAATTTCACAACATTTCCATCATTTGTTGCATTTGCAAAATCCCCACTTTCTTTCCTGGATCATTTCAATTATTCATAGCATAACTAGAAAATAAGCCTTATCTGGTTTTGCATCTAACTTGAAAAGCAAAGCTAGAGAGATAGGTTGAGTTCAGGCATTTGTATCTGAACACTGCCAAAATTCAAATGTGTTAAAGACTCAATGTCTAGGCAGCCTGACTAGGGACTTATAAATGCACCCATTAGCACTCTAAATAGGGAAGTTGGGCTGTGCCTTGTTGAATAGTCCAATGACCACTTAAATTGCTAATTTTTTTTGTAATGGCTGCTTTTAAACTCTCTGCAGACCACTGAGAAGTGGGCCAGTCGCACAGCACCAGTGGCCCATGAAACATAGTTTGACAACTGAAGTCTTATGCACTACAATCCCTGATGCTACAAAGAGTAACTGCCTGTGTAACCACTTCTTGTTCAAGTTTGCCCTTTCTAGACTTAGGAAACCAGAAGCCTGTGGAACACCTGCAGAGTGACTTTTATATCAAGAATTGGAAAAAGGATAGGGGAAAGGATAGTGGAGAATGGCATCATGCACAGATCACCTCATCCTGATAATTTCCCCACTCCAGATCGACCCAATCTGGCTCCCCTCTGCCTGCAGATGTAGGTGGAACAGCAGGCCTTAGTTTATCTCAGTGCTTGTTATCACTTTGTTCTTTAGGTGACTCAAATAAAATACCCTCAGTTTCAGCTGAACTGAAATAGCAACAGAACAAACAACATGAAGATTATCTGTATTGTTCTAAAGCACAAATAAAAAGTGTAGTCTTTGCATGGGATTAGCCATTAACCTGCTATACTGATAACAGTGAGACACCTGGAGAATGGAGAAAAGGTTACCTTTTCAGTTTAATTAGCACTCCCTTTAATTCATATTTCACAATATACAGTATAGTTCAAAAACCTGCTTTGAGCTAAAACAAGTTTGACTTGTTACCACCCCGATAAAACAATATTTATTGAAATTCTTTCTCTGATGCTTATTGAAACTTCCTGCATTTTATTTGCAGAGCCTAGTCTGGGTATTTTATTTGCAAAAACATTACTGATATGATATTATTTCTGGTGCACAGTGATTGCCTATACATTTGTGTGGGCAAAAACCACCTATTCTGGCCATAAATGAACCTAATAAACTGCCCATATATTTTCTAAAAAATAGAGCTGATTACAAAATTTAAAAAAAAAAAAATCTCCAAAAATCCTTATCCATTTTCCCATTTTTTGTTGTAATTTGAATTTCCATACTCTCCATCCAGTTCTTCTCAGAAGAAAGTAGCATCCTAATCAGATAGCCCTTGTGTAATTGTATCACTGGCAATGAAAACATTCAGGGGACATCTACACAGCAACATTATTTCAAAATAACGAAGTCCACGTCTACACAGCAGGCTGTTATTTTGAAATAATGTCAAAATACTGTCAAGCTGGAGGACTTCTTACTCTGACTCCTGTAACCCTCATTGTATGAGGAGTGGGGGTAGTCAGTGGAAGAGTGCTCTATTTAGAAATAAGTTCTGTATAGATGCTCCCAAATTTCGAAATAAGCTATTTCAAAATAAACTATGCAATTGACATAGCTCAATTTGCATAGCTTATTTTGAGTTAAGCCCTGCTGTGTAGAAGCACCCTCAGTCAGACTCTGATCCTTCTTATACCAGTGTACATCAAATCTAACTCCCCCTGATGTCCAAAGAGTCATTGGAAAAGTGAAGCTCAGAAACAGCAAAAGTGAAACCAGAGAAAGTGAACTCAAAAACAAGCTCATTCTATCTTTCTTATGATTATGTTTAAGGTATATTGTTTTAAAATATAGACACAAATGTGGTATCTACAGCATCTGCTTAGATGTGCTTTTCCCTTTGAAATCCCCAATTATAAGGCTTATGTTCTCTAAACCAGCATAACTACGTGCTATATTTTATCTCATATATAAATGTCTTATTGCACGGTCAATAGGCAAATACATAATGCACAGTTCACTTGTAAAAATCCCACTGACACCAATGGAAGTTCTGATCATGGACCAAATCCAGAAGGTTCAACTAAGATGTGCCCTGATTAACAAAGAATATTTATTCCCCTTATCTAAAATGTGAGAACCACAGACAGCAATGTTGTGTCTGTGTGTGATGGGGTAGCTTAGGTCCCGAAGCCTCCCTCATGGAAGTTTATGGCCTTGCCACATCCCACCCCAGGAAAAGAGCAGTAGAGTCTTTTGAGGTCCTTGACAAGGTAGTATGAGAAGCAGCTAATCAGGACCCAGCAAGCCAGTATACAGAAAGACGATGGGCAGAGCCAGGCAGTTTCACTTTGGAGCTCAAGGAGTGAAAACGGTCTGACTGGCTGGCTGAAAGAGAGCAGAAGGACATCTCACCGGGAAATGCTTATTGCAAGACTGGACTGAGACCCAGGGTCAGTTGCTGAAGATCAGGGCTTGGCATGTGGGAAGAGCTGCAGAACCATGGAAAGGATATGTCTAGACTGCATCCCTCTGTCAGCAGAGGGATGCAGATTAGGCAGGTCGACATTGCAAATGAAGCGGGGATTTAAAGATCCCGTGCTTAATTTGCATAAAAATGGCCACCATTTTTGCCGACTCAGCACTTTGTAGGCAAAAAGCAGCAGTCTAGAGGGGGACCTGTCATGAAAGAAAGCCTTTTTCGACAGATCCCTTATGCCTCCTGCAAGGAGGTTTACAGGATCTGTCGAAAAAGGCTTTCTTTCTCGACAGATCCCCCTCTAGACTGCCGTTTTTTGCCGATAAAGTGCTGAGTTGGCAAAAACGACGGCCATTTTTATGCAAATTAAGCACGGGATATTTAAATCCCCGCTTCATTTGCAATGTCGACCTGCCTAATCTGCATCCCTCTGCTGACAGAGGGATGCAGTCTAGACATACCCATAGAGTGCCGTTGGGACTTCGTTGAGACAAAGCCCTGAGATAAGGGCAAGGATGGTGTGGGGCCCTGGAGAAATGGCCTAAGAAATTAGAATCGCAGTAGAACATTAATAGACAGCTCACAGCAAACAACTGCTATTTACAGAGTCCCTGGACTAGTACCCAGAACTGTGTTGTACTGAGGGTATTTGCCCCATAGGGATTATGTTTGTATTTCACCAAGTCTGCTTCATAGAGCCTTCTATTGCCTTTCAAGTGAATCCTCTGTATGGGGGAGAAGAGAGAGACTCAAACCTTCCATGTATCTCTGGTGGCTAGATCAGCATACTGCAGGGAACAGATTTCACTATTCCAGCATAGTGGCGCCATTAGCCCAATCCCTCTGTACAGTTGGGATGTCCCCTTTGTCCACCCATTAACAAAAGCCTTTGATGAATTGGCACTGTTTAGCCTGTTTGTTAAGAAAACTAGAAATGGGCAGTTGGATAAAGTACAAAACTAACCTTACCCTTTCCCTGTCTGTCAAACCAAACATTTCCAGAGCCCCAAAAAGGATGCTGTCTTATTTTATTCTTTAGTCCCTCTCTGCACCTGAGTTCTGGCCAAGACAGAAGATGAAGTACCAAAGTACTACAAGTAAGCCCATCTTTATGGCATTTCTGATCATGTCTCATTGCAATCATATGAAAGAGCCTAGTTTCGTGAGAGCTAAACCCAAACTTTCAGATCACAGAATTCTGGTTACTATTCTGAATTGACGGCCGGACAAACCAGCTATTCCATTCCTTTGGGTTGCTCTTTCAACACAAAGCAGCCGCAAGCCAGAATTTGAAGGCCAGTTCAATGAAACATGTGGCTGCTTGGCATCACGGGAGCAGTGCAAAGCTACCAGTGAGTACCACGGCCTCTAGGCCTGAATCTCCAGGCCTTGCGGGCTCTCCCTTCTCTACTGAAAAAACATGGGTAGAGACAGTCCTTCCCACTGTGTGAACACAGAGCCATCATGGCAGAACATCTCATTTCCAATACAACATGCCATGGTCCCAGCACCTAACAGTTATTGCCACTGCACCTCCTAGTACCTTGTTCTTGTCATATTTCTTGGAAGGTCCTTGACTCCATCAGCAGTTTCTTCATATTCCCCTGCCCCGTCCTCTCTCCCGCTCCCCCTCCCCCATGGTTGGTGAGCTGTAACGAAACTGATACTCACTGGAGAGAAGCTGTAGATGCAGCTGAACTTATCATCCCACTTTCTGCCATCTCAATGGCCTGTTTAATTTCCAGTTTCTTGTACAGAGATACAATGCTGGATTTGGGTTGTTTCTTCCGCAGCAGGATTTTCTTTAGATATTTATTGTCAAACTTTTTAAATCTATGAGACAGAAATGAAAAGCAGCTGAAAAAAGGAAAGGAGTCGATCTTCTTCCCTGGCAACATTAATCATGTATATAAAATTCTATGTTGGAAAAATTCTGTGTCAGAAACTGAGTCCAAATTGTAGGCACCCAGGACTTGCTGAAGGATCAGTGAACAGAAACCTGATGGAAGACAAAGGGCATGGCCTACTGGCCCACATAGATAGTAAATCTGCTCTACAAAAGAAAGAAACAAGCTGCAATCATGGTAAAAAGAAGGTTGTGTGTGTGTAAGCATATGGCATTGCCACAATTGTATGAAAAGAATAAAAAGGGGCCAGTCTTTTATGCTTTTGTACAAATGTTCTATTCTAATAAGGTATAACAGCAGCAGCTGCACTTACAGCAATGCCGGCCTATTCAGCCAGACGCCAATAATGTTCTAAATGGCCCAGTAGTTAGGCCCCATTATGTTGCTGATCATTTTGAATCCTGACAATTAGAGGAAAATATATATGTCCTAATATTCTGAATGCTGGGGAAATTGAATGGACCAGAAAATGATGTGTGTATGCATGCTGCATATTATAATAAACCACTAATATACCGCATGCACAGTTTGAATGTGTATGTGTGTTGAGGGGTGTATTGGCTTTCAGGAATTACCTAACAAACAGCAGCAGCTCTTATATTTTTTCCTATGGGGCAGTTTGCTAGGGCAGAGATACGTGCTTTAAAGTGTAATGAAAAGCAGTACCGAATGTATACAATTTCTTACAATCAACGATTTTTAATATTTGTTGCTGTAACAGAAGTCTGTACATAGATCTGCTTTATTCTGTGCTCTGGATGCTCTGTAAAGCTTTCTAGTCCACAGGAAATTATACTGTCAGTTAACCAAGGTATTAATTCCTAAAGGCATATTACTTAATCTTAATGAATGGAATACCTTCATTTTTATATGACTCTTTATATGATGTGTTTCGTTAGCTTTTACTGGACTGAAACAATAATTTACTCACCTGGGCTCCTTCTAACAGGTCTATTGTATGGATCTAAGAGAAGTGACAGACAGTCAACTTATCTCAGCGACAGTGTCTTTGATTGTGTCTGTGGCTTCAAATAGGGAATTTTATAACCTGTGCACCACTCAGGCGTTATCCTCAACAGATTTTCAAGAAGACTATTTTTAGGCCATTTACAGATGAATTCTATAGTTTGTAAATTTGTGGAAATGAAGGCCATCTGTCAAGTGAAAAGATATTTGACCCCTTAAAGGCTTGTGTTACTGCTCTATACCAACCACTGAGCATGCAGAGGTATTGGACAGACAGATGATCATAGGCACATACAGATTTGATCATGTAAAGGTCACAAACCAAATGGTAATTTATGACATCAAGTCAACATCTTATCTACCTATCTCATCTACCTACATGCTGCTCCCATATAATTCTTTTATTAATACAGAATCTCTCATATTCTCTCTCCTAGAATCAGAAGGGTAGTATAATTCTGAAACTGGGAAAAATAGTTACTATTATTTTTATTATGAACTTATCTATACGGTCCCACATGTTTGCACAGTGGTTTATATTCAAATAAAAAGACTGATCCATGCCTCGGACACTGTGCAATCTAAGTCTGTATTTAAAGGGGCACTTTGAAGCTTCAGGGGGTAGCCGAGTTAGTCTGTACAGAAAAAAACAACAAATGGTCTGGTAGCAGTCTATAGACTAACAAAACATGTAGATGGTATCATGAGCTTTCGAGGGCACAGCCCACTCCTTCAGATGACCAGAGTTTTGAGTTTAGGCTGTGCAGACTCAAAATAAATAGGAGAGAAGGTAGGGGGAGGAAAAAAAGGAGGGACGTGGGAGACAGGGGGCAAAGGGTATAGAAAATCAGGAAGGTAGAGGGAATCAGTAAGTATCTGAAGATTGGGTAGTTAAAACGAAGCAGATAAGAATCAAAATCAATTGATAGTATCCTTCCTGACATAGGAATCTACACAAAGACATTGACTGTTAGGTTGATAGTGTACCAACCATCCTTCATCACAATTGAGTCCATTAGCATGAGAATTTAATTTGCGGATGAACTCTAATTCCAATGCTTCTCTGTGTATCTGGCTAGTAGAATTGGTTTGTGTCCATTGATTCATTCCCGAGGGGTCTGAGTTGTGGACTATAGGTAATAACTCCACTTGTTATTACCTATAGTAATAACTCCACTTGTTATTACCTATAGTCCACAACTCAGACCCCTCCAGCGCATTATACACAATCTACAATTCACCTTATAAAATGATCCCTCACTCTCAGAGGCCTTGGGAGAAAAAAGCCTATTCTCGCTTACGGACAACCTCCCCAACCTGAAACGAATTCTTTCCGGTAACCATGCCACACAACCATATCATAAGCATCCAGGAACCCAGCCCTGCAACCAAACACGATGCCAAGTCTGCCCACATATCTATACTAACGAATTCATCACTGAAGCCAACAACCTAAGCTACCAAATCAAAAGGTCATTTGACTGCACATCCAGTAATTTGATCTATGCCATCAAATGCCAGCAATGCCCCACTGCTATATAGATTGGACAAACTGGACAGTCAATGGACACAAATCAGATATACGTAAAGGAAACATACAGAAACCTGTTGGGGAACACTTTAATCTTCCTAATCACTGTTTAAAAGATCTTCACGTGGCTATCTTGTCACAAACCAATTCTACTAGACAGATACACGAAGAAGCATTGGAATTAGAGTTCATCCGCAAATTCAATTCTCATGCCAATTGACTCAATTGTGATGAAGGATGGTTGGGATACTATCAACCTATTTATTTTGGATCTGCACTTCCTAAACTCAAAACTCCGGTCATCTGAAGAAGTGGTTGTGCCCACGAAAGCTCATGATACCATCTACATGTTTTGTTAGTCTATAAAGTGTTACCAGACCATTTGTTGTTTATTTGGTTGTTACTTTGAAGAAGAGTATCAGACGGGTAGCCATGTTAGTCTGGATCTGCAAAAGCGACAAGGAGTCCTGTAGCACCTTATAAACTAACGGATGTATTGGAGCATAAACTTCAAGACCAGACTCCAAAGAGAAACTGCTGAGCTACAGTTCATCTGCAAATTTGACACCATCAGCTCAGGATTAAACAAAGACTGTGAATGGCTTGCTAACTACAAAAGCAGCTTCTCCTCTCTTGGTATTCACACCTCCAGATCAGCTGCTAGAAGTGGGCCTCATCCTCCCTGATTGAATTAACCTTGTTATCTCTACCCTGATTCTGGCCTGCATATTTATACCTGCCTCTGGATTTTTCCACTACATGCATCTGATGAAGTGGGTCTTTGCCCATGAAAGCTTATGCTCCAATACATCTGTTAGTCTTTAAGGTGCTACAGGACTCCTTGTCACTTTGAAGAAGGTTAGGCTTAGGCCTTAGGCCTTGTTTGCCAACTTTTGTCCACATCTGGCATGAAGGTGAATGTCATGTTCTTCCTCCTCTGTCATGCTTATCTCATGCTAGCTTTTGAGGAGGCACAGCAGTGAAACATATGTGAATGTTGCTCTCCAAAAGGTGATGGTTACACAAGAGCTCAAATTATATTTTAGAATAGGATACGGCACATACCTGAAATATTTTCATTCTAATCTAACCTTATGAGAGCACAAAGTGGATTCCCTACTGTTTTAACTTTTGAATAGATCAATATGACACAGCTAAATTGTTTTATTTTACCAGACAGTAATAAAGCATTCTTACTTGTCTCTCAGTTGAGAGTGACTCCAGTGCCCACATATATCTTCAACTCCAGCCTTCAAGTGGTCCATCATCTATAGAAAAAAATACATCAAAACAATGGTCATAGCATGAAATCAGTGTCAGCACAGTTCTGAGGTAATTAAACATCAGATTCTAAGGAGTCTGGACACTGATTCAAACTAAATCAATCTTAGAAAATCCAACATTTTATAAAAATCCAGGCAAACTTCTCCATATGGAATACCTCTGAACTTTTTATTTTTCTGTAAGATTGTCTTACTTATACAAATAAATCTGCTATGAATTACTTTGATTTTGCAGGCATCTTCCTATGTTTTCTTACAATAAGGTGGGACTTCCATGGAAATAGCTTTAAAATTCCCCGCAATAATTACTATATATAATACTATTTTACATAAAATCATATATGGCTTTGATGTAAAGATAAAACACTGAGGATAAACATTTCAGATCAAATGAAAGTTAGCTGTTAACATCTACATATGTGCTTAATTTTATACATATAGTAGTCACATGGATTTCAATGGGACTTCTCATGGGTAAATTTAACCACATTTTGAAGTGTTTTGTACAATATTATTAAGCTAGTTTAATAACCTTCTCTCTATCCTACCCATAAGAATTATGGCATGTAAATTTAAAGCACAGAGTTTCAGAAGAAAATAGATCTTCCAAAACAACCCAGAATTCTTCAAAATGCATCCTGAGGTTTTATTCATTTTAATTAACAAAACAGAGTGCTCTGATTTAATACTTTTCTGCTTTTTAATGTCTACTCAAACCTGGTCAAAAGACAGTAGCAGTGGAAAGAACCACACCTTCAGTCAGTGGAGACAACGAAGGTGCCTATCTCAGTTCACATTTGGAAACCACTCATCTCAAGCATAAGGACAAAAAAAACATTTGAATTAGAGCTTAGAAAGATTTTGCAGAAGTTGATGACCCTAGCTGGGAAAGATGCCCACTCAACACTGCAGTCCGAGGCATGAATACAGCACATGTAGGTGTGAACTGGGCTAGTTTTGATCTAACATGGCTTGAATAATGACAGCAGAGACTATACAAGCCCACCTGGGACCCTGGTATGTACTTGAGCAATTAAATCCATGCTGCTGTTGTTGTTCCAGTTAGCTAAATCAAAGCTTGCTCAGGTATGTTTGTAGGTGGTGCGGTCACACCACTGATTCCATGTAAGTTGGTGGTGGATTTTTCAACCCTAACTTTCCATTGTAATGTAGTTGGGATTTTTCTTAATTGCTACAAAATGTTAAGATAGAAAGGCTGGAATCCAATTGCTATATTGTTCTACTGTTGTGACTTTATAAAAAGCTCCATTTTGTAGTTTGGAAATTTTAATGAGTTGGCATCCACATCGATAGGTTGTCAGATATTACTTCACAACAGCTTCTTTGGACTCAAATACCATCCAAAATTTGTATTTAGATATCTCATCTGGGATTTTGCAAAGGAGCCTATTGGGTTTATTTGCTCAATTAATTGCAATGGAAGCAAGGTACCTAACTCTCTTGAAGTTATTTGGAACTCCCACTCATTCTCTTTCTAGGATATAGTTCATCGATAAAGACAACTTACTCGTACATGAATCTCTTCATTGATGGACTCCTTCTTGCTGGTCTTTTTAACATCTAGATATTTGACCAGTGGACCTATTGTGATTCCCTGTATTTAGGTCAATGAACGAGAAAGTTAATTATCTTTTAGAACAAGCAGAGAAAAGGCAAAATATGATGTGACTATATCTTATTTGATCAATCATGAAAACTGTGTCTAGAATACAGCGGCTTCTGTTACTACAAGGCTGATTGAAAAATGGGGCTGGAGTGGGAAAACAATTTCCAAAAAAAAAGTTTCCATTTTTTAATCAATATTAAGGTTGAATTAGCATTTTCTAACCAACTCTAAGAATTGGTTTCTGCAAACTACCTGGCCTGCTAACCACTCATACCAAACTAATATTTCATTCAAGAGGAAAAAATACTATCAACATTATCTGAGCATCACTTTTTGACATTTTTTATATATTGAATATATTAGTTATAAATATATTCAATATACTATATCAAAATATAATGTTTTACCCCAAATTTTCAGAATTTTCTTTTGCAGAGAATTTCTTAATTATAGGATTTCATTCCTAATCAGAACAAAGACAAATGTTTAAATCACAAAATTTTCTTCACAGAACAGTTTCCATCCTGCATAGCTCCAGTTATGAACAAAAGGGCTACATCTACACTGGCCCTTTTTCCGAAAGGGGCATGCAAATTTTAAACTTCAGAATAGGGAAATCCGCGGGGGATTTAAATATCCCCCGCGGGATTTAAATAAAGATGTCCGCCGCTTTTTTCCGGCTTGTAGATAAGCCGGAAAAAAGCATCTAGACTGGCCCGATCCTCCGGAATAAAGCCCTATTCCGGAGGATCTCTTATTCCTACTTCAAAGTGGAATTCCTACTTCAAAAGGGAAATCCACGGGGGATTTAAATATCCCCCGCGGGATTTAAATAAAGATGTCCGCCACTACTTCAAAGTAGGAATAAGAGATCCTCCAGAATAGGGCTTTATTCCGGAGGATCGGGCCAGTCTAGATGCTTTTTTCCGGCTTATCTACAAGCCGGAAAAAAGCGGCAGACATCTTTATTTAGATCCTGCGGGGGATATTTAAATCCCCCGCGGATTTCCCTATTCTGAAGTTTAAAATTTGCATGCCCCTTTCGGAAAAGGGGCCAGTGTAGATGTAGCCAAGGGGAGCAGCTTTTTTGTGTCTTTGTGTGCAAGATGAAGTAAAAGTCGAAACACCATTTTCAGAAGAATTCTTAAGGGAATCTTTTTTTAAGTATTTCCACCATAGAAGTTAGTAAATATTGAAACAAAAGTATACAAAAATGTAATTATCCACTGAAGAGTTATTGTATTAAAAATGAAGACTCTATCTAGCAAGCAACTGGAGTATGAACTAGAAGCATTATTTCTGATTTAAGTGTAAACTTCAGTGCAAGTTTAACTATAGAGCCTGTAGACACCTCTATTACAGGCAGTCCCCGGGTTACGTACAAGATAGGGACGGTAAGTTTGTTCTTAAGTTGAATTTGTATGTAAGTCGGAACTGGTACATATTGTAGGGGAAACTCTAGCCAACCATTTCTCCAGAGCTCAGTTTTATTCTCCCACACCTCACTTCCCTCAGTCCTTTATTCTCAAGCTGAGGTGTCTGCTGAGAAAAGCCGCTCCGCGTCTCCCTGGTCTGCTGGGGAGGCGGGGAGGGGCGCTAGCTTCGCGTCTCCCTGGTCTGCTGGGGGGAAGCAGCTAGTGCGGGGTTGCCTCACCCCGTTTGTAAGTAGGGATCCGATGTAAGTCGGATCCATGTAACCCGGGGACTGCCTGTATATGAAATGAACCCACTATGAAACTTGCTTACCTGAATGAACACAGTGAAATATATAACCACAAGGGTAGCCGTAATGAACATGTTCTTTCTAGGGAAGAGATACAAAGGAAGCAAAAATGCAAGAGAGAAACTACTGGCTCCTCGAAAGCCACTGTAGGCAATAATGAGCTGGTCTTTGATGGTGAAAGGGTAAGTCCGAAATTTGTTGGTGACATAAAAGAGACCAAACACACCTAGGAGGGAGAAAAACTCTTGTCAACAAAGTAACAAAGAAATATTTAAGTGCAACTGCATCTTTAGCCTTAGGAAACTAACATTTTTCTTTGCAATTGTATTTTAAAATACTATTATATATGTGATGACTTATTGTATGGGAACTTTTAACCCACTATTCTAATGTAGTGTGTATGTTTTTAAATGTGTTATGTTTGAGTTTTGCTGAATAGGCTCAAAAGATGAGATAAGTGATATTACACACACACACACACACACAGGACTCCTCGCCGCACACACACACACACACGTTTGTATTCTAGAGAGGTCTTCAACTGAGGTGATTTGAAGACATCATAGATAAGAGCTCTTCCTG